GAAAACATGTTTAAGGTGGGGGAAGACTTCACTGCCTCGCTTAATTAAAAGCATGATTAAGAGGGGATGACATTTGTAGATCGAGATTGAATCCTAGCCTCAGGGCTCGGCCCAGAAAGTGTCATCTTAACCTAACCCATGGCCGCAGAGCTCGGCCCCCTAGCCTGTCCTAGCTGCACCGCTCGGCCCAGAAAGTGTCTTAACCAAACCTAACCCAAAATAAATACTAATTTGATTGAAAATTGTTGAAAAAGTGATCATGTCAAAAAGTAAAATCTGCAGTGAAGTCTTCCCCACCTCGCACACTCTAAGGTTGGAGTTCAGCGTCTGCCGTGAGAGGAGACAGACAAAGGGGCTGGATAAAATCACGCGCGGGAGTAGGAGTAAATCACATTTGAACTATTTATATGTTTTTTAACTATTTTATTTGAAATTTTTGTTTGCTTATTTTTCATTTGGACAATTTTTTTCTCATTTGAACTATTTTTCATTTAAACTTTTAAATTCATTTGAACTCTTTTTTATTTGAACTATTACATTTGAACTATTTTTATGTTCACTTGAACTATTTTCATTTTCATTTGAACTATTTTTTTGTTAATTTAAACTATTTCTATGTTATAACATCAGATCTTCGCCGTGTTTTGGTCTCCGCCATGTATGTGCGATAGCGGAGAGGTTTCTATACCTCCATAGATATGTACTCCATGTCCCCTCCATAGTAAGTGCTATGGCGAAGAAATTACTACACCGCCATAGTATATACTCCAGATTTCCGCTATATCTCCTCTTTCGTAGGTGCGATGGCGAAGTAATTATGTACCACCATAGTATATACTCCATATATATCTCCGCCGTAGATACTCCGTGTTTTGGTCTCCGCCATGTCGTATGTGCGATAGCGGAGAGGTTTCTATACCTCCATAGTATGTACTCCATGTCCCCTCCAGTAAGTGCTATGGCGAAGAAATTACTACACCGCCATAGTATATACTCCAGATTTCTGCTATATCTCCTCTTTCGAAGGTGCGAGGGCGAAGTAATTACGTACCTCCATAGTATATACTCCATATTTCTAAAATATCTCCTCTGTCGTAGGTGCGAGGGCAGAGCAATTATGCACCTCCATAGTATATACTCCATATATCCCCGCTGTAGTTCCTTTGTCGTAGGTGCGACGGTGAAGTGATCAAAATACCGCTGTAGTATATAATCCATGTTTTCACTGTCGTATATAC